ATCCCAAAAAATAAAAAGTCCCCTCCCCTTGTGATCAATGAAGCATTAATCAATTAAGCATCAAAAAGGACCAAGCTACAAGGCAAAAGATTTTTTCTGAAACTTTTTGAGAAAATTATTTTTATAGTAATTAGTACTGTATGTTACTTTTGGTCGACTTACTAAAATAAGTTTTTGTGAAATTTAAGGATTTTTTAAAAAGCACATCGGTACAGGTTTGAAGCAAATTTGTGCACTTTTATTTACTTTTGGAAATCTTATTTGAACAAGTTATATTATATTGTAAGTTATACATATAAGACAAAGGAAGAAAAACAACACATTTAGGACATAATACAAAAAAAACCCCATTAGTGTCTTGAAAGACATAAATCTATTACACAAGTGGACAACCCACAAAATGAAACCCCTAGAATAGATGACAGAAATACATTTGACATTTGACTCTCACAAAACACAAAAACAGACACAGCTTTTCATAGCAAACTGTTCCCAATTCCTATGTCTGGCCTTTCAATAGAACCAAGAACAAGTCAATTTTCAGTTTTTAATTTTTAACGATTAGTACAGTAATTTTTATTTGATCAATAGTTGATTTACCATAGAATTGATTTGTTGAAACATAAAAAGCTCACACATTTTAAGTTAAATAAGTGAATTTCTATTTATCTTTGGGAAACTTTTTTTAAAAAAACGTATTGGTTTAATATTATTGGTATAATATGTTGAGTTTGATCAATTGATGTTCCAAAAATATCTTATTTCTGAATGTTAAGCAAAAAACCACATAGCTAAATTATACAGTATATATATTAACAGCTCACACTGTACAGTGATAACACCAGAATCAAACAGGATACAAGGATGATCTGTCACGGAACGAACAGGTGTAACAATAACATTGTTCCTGTTTATTTATATAATTAGTCTTTAAACACATTTGATAATATTGACAACTTTCGTGTGTACATAATGTAATCCTAAGGCAAATCCATCTCTGGCACAAAGAGCAATGATAAAATTATGAGGTGAGATCTTTTTTTTAATAAAAGTGCAAACCAAGCTTGAAGCAGATAAACCAGCTGAACAGTTATCTGATACCAACCCCCAGGTCATAATTACACTTGGTCGTAACATCCTGGTCATCCTGAACTTTATTGAAAAACCCCCAAGTCTTTTCAATAAAAAACATATTTTCAACACTTCAAGCTCAGTTTTGCCTCCCACATGGTGGCGTTTCCTACTTGGCACAAGGCATTGAAGAGAGCTGACATTCCCTTACCTCTGGTTCAGGTGGTGGAGAAAGTGGGTGGATCTACCATGAAAGTGTTTGTAGATGATGAAGACTCTTCTCAATACTGCCATTAGCCTGCCGGGAGAAAAACAGTTTGGAAAGTTTTAGATTTAATTGTGTAGTTGTGGATTTGCCCGCACCTCCCAATTTGCTGTAGATGCATAAAATAAGAAATTAAAGTACAGTAGCAGGTTAACAGACAGATATTATTGTGTACCTGCCAGCACATGTGTCCTACCCTGATTTAAGGGTTTTCTCTTGTGGTGAACCATATGTACTGACAAGGGTTGTTTGATGTGGTAACAGTAATCCCTTAACATACATAGAGAATTTTAATCAAATATATGATGGCATGTGTATGCATAATTGCCTGGACTTGATTTGGTTTAAATATGATTTAAATAAATTTATTTTCTTTTTGTCAGAAAATTGTAAATATAAAGCTGCACACAAAATAGTCACTGTGGCGAAGTTTCTCTCCTTAATAAAAAGGCAGGATATTTAAGGGTCACGGACCGATCTGTGAAGTGTGGCGGATACATACACTGGCATTTTCTACATATAATAATAAACGTGTTGCCACTGTGTATGCAACTTTATTAGCAGCGTACTCGTAGCATCGCGCTTGTCTTTTAATGCAGAACGCTTGGTCTCCACGTGGCGAAGCAGTTTTGAAGGCGTCATTGCCTCATTAGAGAGCCGTTCGCGGAATTTGTCTGTTAAATTCACCTTTCTTTACCTTAAAGGACGTATACTCTCCTTCTGTCTCATCACTGGCTCCTTTACATCGCTCAAAGAAACGTTCCAAGGACGTTTGTTTTCTGTTCATTTTGCTAGATTGGGGCTTTTAATTTAGCGGTAACGTATTATGTTTGGGTTAGTGGCCTTTAAAGCAGGGAGCGGATGTAGATAAGACATGACATGTATCAAGTGTGAGTGACGGACAGATACGGCGGAGAGAGTCCGGTAATTTTTCAAAATAAAAGATCGTTCGGAATCAGATAATAAAACGGAAATAATGTAAATTATGCATAGAACACTAGTTTAGAAGAAAAATAAGTATAAGCAAAGATATTTAACATTTTTGTCATCATTTCTTTCTGTGTGGCTTGAACATTCTTTATTTTAGTATAGTAATAGCTTTCATAAACTTTCATAAAACAACACTTGACATTTAATCACATGACAGATTAATTGTTTGGCAGTGTATTCAACTGTTTTTGTTTTTGTTTGCTTGTTTGTTTTTTGTTATTTGGACCAATCAGGTTGGGGACTGCAGATGACATTGCATGAATGAAGTCCCAACCTAATTTTGCATGGTAGCCAGCCCGTTGAACTTTTTTAGTCATGTCAAAGATTTACTTAAAAAAACAAGTTGAAAATCGCCAAATGACCCAGACTGGCGGAAGAGGTTGCTACGAATGAGCTTCTGGTTCTGTAGGAAATGGCCAAAACATTTGAACAATACTGTATATGTCATTTTGAAGTTCTGATGTAGGTGTTCTTTTTGTATTACTTTTTGTATTTTGTATTGTATTTAAATTCACTAATTTTCATTTTACCATTCGTATTCAGCAGAAATAGTGAATACTACAGCAAGAAACCATTTCTGATGAAGCGGAGATTAAAAATGAGTAATCCAGACGTGCAGATTGGTGGTCGTAGGCATGTACTACTCAGCGCAAAAATGTATATATAAACTATAGCAATGTTTGTTCATCGGTAATTCTAACTATATGTATAATGTATGTACAAAGTATGACCAATTCATAATAGTAAATACATAGTTTTTCAGTGTACATATCTTATTTTTGCCTTGTCATTTGAGTAGTACCTATTGTCTGTCTTGTGAGGCAGAAATATAACTCTGGGCCATGGCTCAGACACACCTTTGTCCTGTAGTATTTAAAACTCTTTGTGTTTTTAGTGACTCTTTCAGGAAGGTGATGCAGCACTTCGACAACATCAGCCGATGTCTACTGAATAATGTGTATATATATATATATATTTATATATACACATATATAGATAGATAGCTTTATTAATCTCCCGGGAGTTCCCTTGTATCTGAGGAGGGTAAGTGAAGAGTCACAGTTATTTGTATAAGATGAAAGCTGATTTACGCCAAGATTTACCAAGGTTGTGAAATGGATGTGCTTTACTTTTTCTTTACATTTATTTGTTAGCAGTTTGTTGGTTCATACAGATTCAAAATGTTTTTATACAGAATGCTCTGTATAAAATACTCGCCCTACCACTAATACTTGTCAATCAGAACCAGGAGTTTTGACATTATTTTTGTTTGTTTGTTTTTCAACATGATAATCCTCTCAGATAGCGTTTTTCTTTCACTATGTTGATAGCATCGCTCTTTTTCATTACAGAACGGAGATTTAGCTGCTGCCTGACAAGCTTCCACGGACATTTACATTTATTTCTTATCAGAAAAAAAACTCAAAAACTTCAGGATGAAGAAAATCAATGCCATCGTCTTCATCTGTGTAGTTGTCATAGTCTGCCTCACAAGAGACAACTCTATTCTGTCAAGGTAATAAGATGACACCCAAGAAACAAGTTCTACTTTCTAAGCCAGAGTCTAAAAATCACTGCAAAATATTTGATTATTTTTGTAGAAATATATTTAAATCAATTAAACTTCTTATAACTTTGACATGTAATTTTAAATTGGCAGGGTTGCAGATGGGATTTCTTAACTGGGGGGTTGTCAGCAAAATGGGGGGTGAGCTGTCAGCAATATCACTATATGATAATACAAAATATATAACAACAGTCGGACCATTATAATCTCAACAAAAAAACACTAATATATTGTATATCCATATATATTTCTATTGCTATAGTTTTATTTATATTTCTGTATTTTATATTTTTATATGGGCTTCAGGTACTTTTCATGTTTTCCTGTATATATGTATATGCTTAAGTTTAACAGTGCAAATTCCGACACGTGTACAATTTGAAAGCACAATCAGTTGTAGCGAAAATCTAACGCTCTGCAAGCCTTACCTTCAATGACATAAAAGAAGGACAGAAGCACGGAGTCGCTGGTGGACATCAAGCAGGGGTGGACATCAAGCAGGGGTGGACACCCCATGTACGGCGCCTGAGTTAGGTGTACTGCTGTATCTGAACTTCCTTCCTGTCTGTCACGGTCATCCACTGGGCTGTGGTGTCTGTTAGCACATCAGTGATTCGGATTAAAAGCAAGTTGAACACAATGCAGTCATAAAACACTCATTTGACTTAGCTGACCCCTGACCTCCTAACTGTTAATCAAACCTCTCACTGTCTTACGTTTATCGTTAATTTATACCACTAGTCGACGGTGTGACACCGAGGATGTGTATGCAGTGCACTCATATTTCCTTTGTTGTTTCCTTTCCCTCAGGTTCTCTATCATTCGACAATTTCAATGGAAGAAACCAGAGCCCAGCCCTCTGCCACTGGATCTAATCCAAAGTGGTAAAGTGATCCTTCATAACCTGCTGCTTTCTCACCACACCCCTGCAAATGGAAGTAACTTAACTATTTCTAAAGGACAGGTGGAGAATAAAACAGAAAGTCCAGACATGCAGAACGGTGGTCGTAGGCATGTAATAATAATGGCCACCACACGAACAGGCTCCTCATTTGTGGGGGAGTTCTTCAACCAGGAGAAGGAGAACATGTTTTATCTGTTTGAGCCTCTGTGGCATGTCATTAACAGGTATTCCTTACTGTCAGATCAAATTAACTGGTTCATGAGGAAATCCTTCCAGGACGTACTTCAAGGACTCTTCCACTGTGATTTCTCTCCTATGGAGAAGTTCATTAAGCCCACACCTGTGGACCACATCACCCAAGTTCTTTTTCGCAGAGTGTCAAGTTACTCACTGTGTTCAGATCCTGTTTGCACTCCTCAAGTTAAACGTGATTTCCAAAGGTATTCTTATTTCTCTTTAAAGATCTAGATAGTTATTTTTATTCATTTTAAACAGTGAGAACAATTGGTTCCACAATGTTGCAGAACTGTAGCTTTATCTGTTATTAATAGAATGTTTTTCTCTCACTTAACACACATACATTTTGCTACTACACACGAGTATCCATTGCTTAAAAATTGCATTTCTAAAATGGTTATTGTCAGGTACTGTACAGATGTGACACACCTTAAATCTTGGATGGTGAGATCAGGTTCTGCCACTTTTCTATGAGTCTTGTGAATAAACTCTTTCGTTTATTAGTTTCCCCTGCAAGATGAGGCACTGTGGGCCACTGAACCTGACCCTGGCATCTGAATCGTGCCGATCTAAGAAGAACGTGGTGATTAAGACTGTCCGTGTGGAGCAGCTGGACACATTGAGGCCCTTGGTGGAGGATCCTCATCTGGACCTAAAAATTATCCAGCTGGTGAGAGATCCCCGGTCACTGTTAATCTCCAACATGGTGACCTTTTTCTCAGGTTACAAGGCGTTGAAGGCATTGGCGGAGTATGGAGAGGAGAGTGAAAATAAAACTGAGGTGAAGATACTCAAAGGAAACTGTGACAAAATTAGAGCGTCTGCAGAAATGGCCCTGAGTCGACCTCCCTGGCTGAAAAACAACTACATGTTGGTACGTTATGAGGACGTTGCACGTGATCCTGTGAAGAAGGCAGAAGAAATGTTGACGTTCGCTGGAATACCATTCAGTCCACAAGTGCGGGAGTGGATTCTGGCTAACACACAGTCCACAGATCAACACAGCGGCGCTTACTCCACCAAGAGAAACGCATCAGAGCAGATAGATAAATGGAGAGTGAACATTCCCTTACCTGTGGTTCAGTTGGTGCAGAAAGTGTGTGGACCGACCATGGAACTGTTCGGGTACAAGTTTGTAGATGATGAAAAGACTCTGCGCAACACTTCCATTAGCCTGCTGGAAGATACATCGTTTCATTAGTTTTGGAATTAAGAATAAAGCAGGGGATTGGTAATAATCAGGTGCGGTGAAAAAAAGGTTCATTAGCATCATTGGTGGATTTGTTAATGTAATTAAAGGTAGTGTCTGTCAAGTAATGATGTACAATTTGTGTCACTGTAAAAAGTGACCATAATTATTTTTTTTTAATGATAATGGTAATTATTTATAAACCACAGATACTCAGAAACGGATCATTCAAAGCAGACAGTCAGTTTATGTCATTGTTGCAAATTTAAACTTCAGGTCATTCCAAAGTCTCCCACTACCCCAACGTTCAGAAGATATCTGTAAATGTGTGTATATAAATAACTGGAAACATTGTCTCTGTCACCTACCAACACGGACACGCTCAGTTAAAACTCACACTCTGACTATTGATCTAAGTCATTTAGCCTGTTGACTTCTAACAGTAGGTGATATTTTTTTAAATGATCATCGTCTCTGTTTTTTATGACGAAGGACAAACACCATATTCAAATAATCACTCTGCAGTTCCCACAGCTCTCTCCACTCTTTTCAGCAAACACACAAACCAACACTCTCTGTGCCGCTTACCTTCCTCTGAGCACACTCCACTTCTTCATATACTGTTTGTCGTCCTTGTTGGAAGGGTGGACAAATGATGGGGTTGGTCTGGAACAGGAGGTTCTCTCATGTGGCTCTGTATAGGCCAAGCCTCGTCTTCTCTTCTGCCCTGGTCGCTCCAAAGAACTGGGCATTTCTAATACAAAAGAATGGATTGATTAACACAAGGTTTAGTTCTTGAGTCATTCTTAATCTTTTTAAGAACATACTTAATTTGATTAATTATCGAATGCTGCTAAACTGATTCTATATGTTCTTAGAAATCCTCGTATGTCATGTCCTGGGATGTGTTTCTATTCACATGTTGTTGGATTTTAAGTCATGTCTGCTGAATAAAAATCCAATAGGCATATATTGTATTTATATATTTGTATTTGAATCAAAAGATATATTTAATTTAAACGTGTAAAAGCTGTCTTATCATTATCTGTGTTACAGCCAAACATACACACGAACATGGTATTACAAGTATAACCTCTTCGGTTGTTGCCTCGCCTATTTCACATCTGTCCAGCAGAGGGCACTTGATCCCACCGGATCATTAGGTGTTGACTGTACGTGCGCTCGTGTCTTTAAGACTTTACCTCATCGAGATTGCTCCTCGTCTTTACCGGAATAATTATAGTGAGGACATGATGACTCAGTGAGGACACTGAAGTTTTTCTGCGTGTGAGAAAAAGTGTGAGACTATATATCATATATGTGATGTAAAAACCAAATAAAAAAAATCATTACAACATTATATGTGTATGTTTATGTAAATATATGAAAGATATTTATATAATAAAACCCCTTGTCTTTTACATAGTCATGGTTTCTATATGAAGCATACATCATTTTTGTATTTTTTTAAAAGTATAAATTCCTTGGAAAATACCTATTTTACTTTTGCGGTGTATATGCATGTTTTGTTTTGGGTTTTTTTTTAGTTTAGTGAAACTGTATGGCACTTCGGAGTCAACAAATGCAACACAATCATGAATCAGTATCAAATATCTCCTACAGGTGTTGAAAGTAACTTGAGAACAAAGATACGAACGTGCACGACTAGACAGGCCTGGAGGGTAAATTCTTCCACACTCACCTGTAGCAGACACTTCCTGTCCGAGAAGCTTGTGCTGTTTAAACACATTGCGAAAAAAACCACAGAAACTTAAGCAGACACTCCATCATTAGGACAGCAATGGTTAAAAATATGCAAATTACAAATCCCTTCATATTTTTCTCATAGGTTAAGTGTGAGTCACAGTTAAGTTCACACACAACGATATCTCTTCACAGGGTTTAAAACATGCTGCTGTCCAGCTTGTTCTGTCTTTGCTGACATTGTTTTTTGAGATGGCAATTACCTTGTTTGATCACAGGTTGGTTACCATCATTGTGTATAATAACTACTGTGCCAACACACTACAAAACCAGTCTTTCTGTGTCCTCTTTTATGTTGAGTTCAGTTTGTGATTGATGATTTGAATGGTATCATCATGATATGACTATTTTAATTATGTGTACAGTCCAATTAAAACATTTTCCAAATCAAACACGTGCCCAGACACATAAAGGGTGGAAAGTACTCACGCAACTGTCAGCCAATCAGCCGCCAGACTGCAGTTTTAATTGCAAAAAAGCATATTTGCTGAAGGAGTTGGGAGGATGATTGTTGATTCTGTCCTCAAACCTGAGTAACACAAGAAGGGAGACATTTGATTGGATCAGACTTTATTTTACAAGACAACGTTCTCAAATATGAATCAGTGAAAATGAAGAACAATCTCCTGTTCCCAGATCTCAACTTTAGCAATTGTGTCTGAAAAGTTATCAAGAAACGCATGTTGTTTTTTCACTGCTGAGTCTATTGAAAAACTGTATGTCATTGTAGGTGAAAAACATTCAGTGTGAAAATAAAAATATGGTATATGTACATATATAGATATATATGTGTATATAAATTATATAAAAATATATAAATATATATATATAATCCTGATGTCTCTTCTAACATTTTAACAGCTAAAAAAAAAACTGTAAAGAGTTGTCTTTTGAACCCTCACTTACTTAACAGTAACAATTTCACACCTGTCTAACCCTTTCACACAGTCGCTGAGATTGAACATAATCTTGTGAGAGACAGAAACAGGAAAATACATTAAACTGATGCAAACAGCACAGTTCTCAGTTGAACTCACGTTGTCTAGAAATCCATATAGATAGGTAGGGTCAATTCTTTAATTCTTAAATTCAATAATGTATACTCTTTATCTATGCAACAAAACGACCTTTGGATCGGATGACAAAAAACAAAATCAAATAAATATCTGTTATAATATTAATATCTATGGTCAAGCGGAAGAAGCTGCTTGTGAGTGCCGTGGTTCAGGCCTCAGTTGACCTGAAGTGTCTGCCCATAGGTGACAGGTCAAAGAGGTGTTGACCTGAGCGGGAGGGATGACTGAGGATGGAGTTGGTTTTCCCATAGGTATCAGGAGTTAGTTCTCAACCAATGGCAAAGGGGAGGACCATCATTTTTGGACAGTGGATGATCACTAAATAAAAGTACACTAACTGACTTGATCCAAAAGCAAACAGTTTGTTGCTCAAACTCCTCCTGAAAAAGGTCGACAACTCTCCCTGGGAATGGCAGCCATGTCAGAGAAAACAATCTCATCGCTGCTGAAGAGTGATCTGCTTCAATCATTTATCACAACCTCGATGCTTCAACTTTACTCAGAAATCATTTACGACAAAAGAGTAGAAATCCAGATTGATCAACTGAGAGGCCTCCACACTGACCCTTCAGCTTTTCATCAGAGAAACATGTCCTGCTTCCTGTCGTAGCAGCGGTGCTCGTCGGTTCAAATCCCTCCTGAGTGATGTGTGAACCCCAGCGATGTGGAGGCTAAACCAGTCAGCGATGTCCCTGATCATGTGTCGTCTCCTCGGCACCCCTGTGTCAATCAATCCGCTGCTCCGACCTTCTCAAGTAGCAGCCGCTATGATTAGTTATTTCTGCCATTATGTATCCTCCCTGCATTATTCATAGCCCGAGTTCTTTTGGACTGTTTCCCCGGAGAGAACATGAGAGGGGAATCCCACACTACTCCCAACAAAACCCACAGGGATTGAGCCAAAGTGGGAGTAAGAAAATATCGCTGCATTTTAAATGATCCAAACACAGGATGATTTATTATTGATGCAGGGGTGATTGTAGCCCTCCACGCGCCCCCTCTGCCTTTAAGGAAAAGAAATGGTGTGGAAAGTGCTGGGTTGTTGGACTGTTAGGGATCCATTTCTCCCCTGATCTTCAGAACGACAAAGTTTTCCAGAGGAGATCCCATACCCTCACCCCGGTGGTCCTAATCATCGTCACTGGACTCTGCCCTTGTCTGGTGTGGTTATTCACTGGAGGAGTTTAAACTGGCTTATTCTTTGATTTTTTAACATGACATTACATTTTGCTTAAAGAAGAAAACTATAACAACTATAACAAAAATGTCACTCAACATGAAAACCCAGTAGCATATCGTGGCTATTTATATGGGACTATTTACTGTACTGTTGATCACACTTTATCTTGTTATATATGCTGGCATCCAGTAGGGGGAGTTTTGTGTGTCAAGTGGGTACTGATATTTGTGGAAACACACACATATAAAGTTCCGTTCTGTTCCGTCCTGTTCTGTTTTGTTCTGTTTTTTATCACCATAAGGAACGATCTGTGAACAAAACACAGAGAACATTTCACCCATTGTCCTTGTTATGTTCACTTCCCGTCTCCTATCAATGTTGAACATCAGGGTCAATTTTCAAACCCATATTTTCAGGGGCAGATTTTAATTGGATACTTTCCCAGTCCAACCCTACTGTTTTGCCCTGCTTTACAGTCGTTCATAACAGTATGAACGACTGGTGTGGCCACAGAGCGGCATCTGAACACAGCTGACAGGTATCTGTGGGCGGCCATGTTAGTCACAGAGGTACAGTTCTCTGTCATTGTTGCGCTGTGACAGATGTTTCACAGAGGTTTGTGTATGCTGGTGTGTGACACCTTCGCTCTTCCTCTGGGGATCAATGTCTGCCCTGTTCTGAAGATCTGATGTTTATCTGCTGGTGATCAATCACACTCTTGACAGCATGAGGGCTAGTGTTACCATCCCTACTGCCTCTGGATGGTCTTTCTTAAAAATAAGAGAAATAGGTAGGAACTCCATACTGGTGCCAAAAAGTATCAGGAATGTAGTTTTATGTACATATTTATCAAAATAGACTTTTAGATTGTAACTTCAACCACTTTACTATCACGTTTTACTAAATATTCAAGAAAAAAGGAATTTGTATTATTTGATTTTGCCACAGGTTTTAGTCCGCCCTCACACCCAAAAATAATTGTAATAAATGCGTAAGATAATGATAAATGTCAACTCCCTTTTACTTGCAGCAAATAAGCCTGAGACAGAAGTTAAACGCAGCTGTCACTAATCCTCCTCTGCCTCTTCAACTGATGTTTTAGCCTGAGGAAATGCTTGACCGGATTCTTCCCTTACTGCGTAGAAACAGTGTAATCTCTCAATCCTTGACACAGCAAATAAACACTGCACAGAAAGAGAGCCGAGCAACTTTATCTCCTACTTCCTTCCACATTGTCTCACTGACATGTTTCGGGGGAACCTCACCGAAGGGAGAGAAGAGGGGACGTATTTATTAGGTAACAGGCCCAAAGGCTCTTTGGCCGGGGATTGAAGGTTAAGTGCATGTACTAATACTGACAAAAAGGAACTTAACACCTTTGGCTATAATGACAATACTGATACTTCCTTTTTAGCCGTTTGGTCGCTGTCTGTTCCTAAAAGAGACAAAAGAGCTGCCCTGTCGTCCCAGCTGCTACAAACTTTGAGACTGCAGCAGAAACCTAAATCTGGGGAAACGTAATGAAACAAGGAAAGAAAGAAAAAATAGAGAAACAC